TTATGTATAATAATATTTTATTAAATTATAAAAAATATATCATAATTTTTTAGTATTTTATTGACAGTTCAAAACTAAAATAAATATAAATGATAAGGAAAAATTAAAATTTATGTAGCAACGACATTATCATATCCATAGAGAATCTGAGTGTAAAGTTTGGATTTAAAAATTAATAAATATCATCTCACTATATTTATACTTCACAAGAGAGTAAAAAATAATATATGAGCTTATCAATAACAATTAAAGGAATGAGCTCAAAGTGTAGAGTCATATTTAATATTTTATTTAATTTTATTGATATCAAAGAAGTATGAGTAAATCAGGATCACAATTGAAGGTATGAACTAAGAGTCATATTTGATAATTCAGTTCAATGATAACATGAGAATAAAGAGTAATTTATGAGCAAGTCAAGATTCAAAGCCATGAATGTTATATTTGATATTTCATTTGATTCGTGATAACACGAGAATAAAGGGTAATTTATGTGCAAGTCAAGATTCAAAAGCATGAGTGTTATTTTTTATATTTCATTTGATTCGTGATAACAAATGAGAAACAAGCAACGTACCGATAAATCAATATCAAAATATAAGGTAATGAGTAATTATATTTGATATTTAATTCAATTCATTTATATGAAAGAAACATATAGTAACAAATAAGCATGTCGGAATCATATCAAAGAAATATAAATTATAAAATAAAATTCATAATATATCACATATAATCAATTTCTTAGTATATATAGCTCTGGATGGTTTCACAACATCGTTGAATCTCGAATTTTGATGATGAAACCAATTGATAGTGTTTATCGAATATGCATTTGAGTGATGTAGGACTAACTTCGATCAGAAGAGATAAATCGATTAAAGCAGGAGGAATCAGACGTTAAGCCGGAGTAAACATGTCAGAAGATTATATGTCGAATCCGAGGATCGATCAACGTGTCGGTAGAAGGCTTCGGTCCGTGAATTCAGGCATCGGACTAAGAAGATCAGACATTGCGCCAAGGAGATCAGATGTTGTGAGAAGATAGCATACTAATTGGGCAATATGCCGAAAGAGAGGACGATACGTCGAAGGATCGGACGAAGCGCCGGAAGAACCAATGACATGTCGGACAATAAAGGATTCACTTATAATTGATTATGTCTAGATCGAGTTAGTTTAGAGTATAATTGAATCGATTTAGAATGTAATTAGACCAACTCAATAAGAGGCCAACTAGGCTCAACTTTGGGCTGTGTTGGGCCAAGTGAAAAGGCCTAAATAGTGACCCAACAAGTGGCACCGTCATGGCACAATCTCCGAGACTATGTCAGGCGGTGGTACCGCCCAAACATAGTCTCCAAGAGATTATCAGGCGTTGATACCACAGGTTTGGGCGGTAGTACCGTCCAATGATCGAGTGTCAGGCAATGGTACGACCAGACTGGACGATGGTACCGCCCAGTGTTAGTGTTGTAGGCTATGGTACCGCCCAGCACAGGCGGTGGTACCGTCAGGACCCGGGAAACCCGGGATGGGACTCCTTTAGGCTCTAAGTTTGAATCCACTTGAGGCCTATAAATATCTCTCTCATCCATGGATAAAGTACACAAGAATTGAGAGTGAAAAAGAAAGAAAACGTTATTGTAATCTTGTGTGAACTCCTCTCAAACTCTAAGTGTTAGTAAAGTTTAAGATAGGAGGTTGTGGGGGTTGTAAAGGTTCTCTCAAAAGGAGAATAGAGTTGTAAAGAGATGGTTGGTCTTTACCTATTGAAGGAAGATCGTCAGTGGATGCCGATGGCCTCGACGGACGGAAGAGGAATCGATGGAATGGATGTAGGTCACGATGATCGAACCACTATAAAATTCTGGTTTGCATTTCTTTTAAGTAATTTACTTTCAACTACAAACTGCCTTCACTGCTCTACTTTCTCATTACATGCTTCTATATGCTTTCAAAGTTTAGCATTTTCGATATCGGTTTTCATCGAACGTATGAAAATTTCAAAATCGACGTAATTTTATTTGCTGTACTAATTCACCCCCCTTCTTAGTACCAACTCGTTCCTAACAATTGATATTAGAGCCACATTATTTCTTATATATATATATATATATATATATATATATATATATTTGATCATAACAATTGTATGTTTTGTAATAATGCTTGCACACCAAATAATATTAAATTCTATGCATGTTGATTTTTATACTTGCACACCAAGTATGATTTTTATATTGTTTTTTAATTTTGATTGAAAACGCTTTATGAAATCTTGTTTGATGAAGTCATGCTTAATGAGTTTATAGTTTAAAATTATGCATGTTATACATTGAAAATCTGAAACCATATTTTGATGTCACACCCAAAGTAGTGATGCATAATGATCATACTTAATAAGTTTATATTTTAAATTATACATAATGATTTTTGTAATTCCTGGCTTTTTGATCTTTGTCGCAATGAAAGTTATTTTTTTTTCGGTTTTAAACAAGATGAATGATTTTTATATGAAAAACTTGTTCATATTTATATGAAATATAAAATGAAACACATAAAAAGAAAACTATATTATCATTGGAATTAAAATGATAAATCAAATCTCTTGTTTAAAGAATTATATGTTTAACGTGTCATATTTTTTGTCATGGTGATGAAATTTGTTGTTCGGTCTTAAACTATGATACATGTTTTTTTTTTGCATAAAAAAAATATAAAAGACATGCTTATATGAAACAAACAACTTAAAATCAAACATCTTTATCTTATTGATTTTTTGATAAAAGATTTATGAATCCATATATATTATGTTTTTGTGAATCTGTTGGACTATGAAAATAAAATGAATTTGAATTAGTTTTAATGATATCATAATTTTTTGAGACTTATAATATGAAATCTTTTATGAATCAAGATCTCTTATTTGATCTCATGTTTCTCTTTGGCATTTAGTAAAGAGGAAAATAATTCAATTCATGATCTTGATTTCTTGATTTCTTGATATTTGATACTTGAGATTTTTCTGTGAATTAAGATATTGTATTTGATCTCCTATGCTTCTTCTTGTCATTTACTAAAGAGGAAAATTTTGTAGATGAATCACGATTTTTTTATAATTATAACTTTTTTTTTAATTGAGACATTATGCATGAATCAAGTTCTCATGTGAATCTATCTACGTTGCCTTCATTGAATTTTCTAAAAAGTAATTTTGATGATTTAAATGAGTTTTATCTATATCATGATCGATCTTGAATTCTTGAAATCAAAACTTGATAGTTTCTTTATATAAATCAAGATCCCTCACTTTTTATTCTCAAATGATTTTTTACATTTTTATTAAAGAGAATATCTTGAATCATATCTTTTGGTATTGATATGATATGATTTTATTATGCAAAGTATATCTCATCACCAAACTTTTATTGTTATCCTTTATGTGATGATTTGAAAATGGATGTAACGAGAAAAGTATTGCACTATTGTAACCATCCCTTCTTTTTGACAATGACAAAAGGGGAGCAAAACTTGCTCGCTTACTCATTTGAAAAGAAAAGTAAAAGTACTATCTTGCCTATCTCAAGAAGCAAAACATACCGACTTGCAAATCTAGCAAAATTTACAAACTTACAAAATTTAAAATTTGTTAGCTTGTATATTCTAAAATGGTGTATTGCTATCTTGCTAGCTTCTATGTTGTAAAATAATGTAAAATTTTGTTAGCTTGTGCTTTGCAAAGGAAGCAAAAAATCGCACTCCTCAAAAGAGAAGAAAGAACATGCTATCTTGAACTTGTAAACTTGCACATCTTAAGAAGCAAAAATTACTATCTCGCCTATCTTAAAAACAAAAATACAAACTTATAAAATTTGTAAACTTGGATATCTTTAAAATTAATGATGATTTGGAGATTATGAATGTTGTAAGGTGATGAAAAATTTTGCTAGTTGTATGTTATAAAACTTGTATGATGATAAAACTAGAGATTATATTTATTATGCAATGATTTGAACGTGCATATCTCAAATACTTGATAGTTGTACTTCTTCTTTTTGTTGATGACAAAGGGGGAGAAGTATGATGATGTTATGCATAAGTTTTTTGATAACATGTTGCTTGGATTTTTGAATCAAAGAGTTCTATCAAATATGTCATATTGATAAGGGGAGTTTGGTTAAACTCCGGGAGTTTGTTTAAACTCCGTTATCTATTGGTTGTCATCATTAAAAAGGGGGAGATTGTTGAATTTCGAATTTTGATGATAAAAGCAATTAATAGTGTTTATCTAATGTGCATTTGAGTGACGCAGGACTAGCTTCGATCAAAAGAGGCAAATCGATTAAAGTAGGAGGAATCATACATTGGGCCGAAGCAAACATATCAAAAGATTAGACGTCGAGCCGGATGATCGGTCGACGTGTCGATAGAAGACTTCGGTCCACGAATTCGAGCATTGGGCCAAGAAGATCGGACATTATACCAAGGAGATCAGATGTTGCGAGAAGACAACATGCTGATGGGGCAATACACCAAAGGGTCGGACAAAGCGCCGAAAGAACCAATGACATGCCGGACAACAATAGATTCGCTTGTAATTTGATTATGTTTAGATCGAGTTAGTTTAGAGTCTAATTGAGTTAGTTTAGAATGTAATTAGATCAACTTAATTAGGGGCCAACTAGGCCCAAGTTTGAGCTATGTTGGGCCAAGTAAAAAGGCCCAAACAGTAACCCAACAAGTGGCATAGTCTCTAACACTATGTCGGGCGGTGGTACCGCTCAGATACAATCTCCGAGAGACTGTCAGGCGGTGGTACCGTCCAGTGGCAAGGTTTCAGGCAGTGGTACCACCTAGCACAGGCGATGGTACCGCTAGGATCCGGAAAACCCGGGATGAGACTCTTTTAAGCTCCAAGTTTGAATCCACTTGAGGCCCTATAAATATCCCTTTCATCCCTGGTTAAAGAACACAAGAATTGAGAGTGAAAAAGAAAAAAATACTGATGTAATCTTGTGTGAACTCCTCTCAAACTCTAAGTGTTAGTGAAGTTTAAGAGAGGAAGTTGTGGGGGTTGTAAAGGTTTTCTCCTGAACCTGTCAAAAGGAGAATAGAGTTGTAAAGAGGTGGTTGGGTCTTTGCCTATTGTAGAAAGACCGTTAATGGATGTCTCGATGACCTCGACAGAAAAGGAATTAGTAGAGTGGATGTATGTCACGACGATCGAACCACTATAAAAATCTGGTTTACATTTTTTTTAAGCAATTTACTTTAAACTGCAAACTACCTTCACTGCTCTATTTTCTCATTATATGCTTCTATACACTTTGAAAGTTTAGCATTTTCGATATCGGTTTTCATCGAATATACGAAAATTTTAGAATCGATGTAATTTTATTTGCTGCACTAATTCATCCACCCTCCCCCCCTCTTAGTGTCGACTTGTTCCTTACAAACGTAACACAATCTTCTTTTTATTTTTGGCTAAGGATCCAGAATATTTTATAAAAAAGGATGTTATGATAAGAACATTAAAAAAAAAAATGTTATGGTAAGAAAGTAAAAATATATCGAAAACACATGTGAAACAACAAAAGCATAAACTTTTAAGGATAATTTTAACATACGCATAATTCATTTAATCATACTCAAGATCAATGAGTAATTGATAAAAGAGTTTAATCGATAATATGAATTTAATTATGAGAGGATTCTTAACTTAAATCAAGTTTTGAAAGGTAGATGCAAGAATTACAACATTTGTAAGGTAAATTGCATGATGTTCATATAGCAATTGTGTTCCAATTTATTCGAGAAAGATATCATTGAAAAAATATATAAATTTATTTTTTAATAAAATAAATCATGTAAATTAGAGTTGTCTTAAAAAAGATCATTTGATATAAATAAATCAAAACATATCTTTGTAGAATTCAAGAGATCAAAAGAAATAATCATTTGGATAGTCATTTATACTTCAAATCATTCAATAGGTGCTAAATAAAAATTATAAGAGTTTAAATTTCATTGGAAAAAAATTACTTGATTTAGAATCTTATACGGATCACTAATTAAAATAACGCAGATAGGTTAGATCATTTTATTTTTATTTTATAGAATTGGAGGGATCAATTGAAATAAACATTTCAATAGATAATTATACATTAAATCATTCAAAAAAGGCAATGATACAATGATATAAGAGTCTAGTTTTCAACCGAAAAAAAGGAATTTGTTCAAGTACTTATAGATAGGATACATATAGATAGGTGGTTAAAATTCTTAAAATTCACACATTGTAAGCTTACAGCTCAATTGAGGTTAATGCTATGGGAAAGAGACAAGGCTTTACAAATTATTTACAAATAAGAAAAAAATCAAAGATAAAAAAAAAATACTATAGAATGAAGATTGAACACTTGCCATAATAAAATCAAATCAGCCAAGGCGAGAAGACTTTTTTTCTTTTTCTCATTCAATTCTTTCCCTCACTGGGTAGAGAGGGTATCAAGGTTCTATCATAACTTGATAATATTTTACAAGTATGCAACGAAAGGTATGTGTGTCAATAATATAATAAGCACGAGTGACACATTGACTCTTCCTCTCTTTTTAATCTTTCATATTATTTTCCCTCTATTAATTTAACATAACATGAAAACTTTCACAAATCGATTCATAATTAGGCCTCTAGCATTGATCCTCTAATATAATATCACTTAATATAAAAATTATAAAATAAAATTTATAATTTATTTAACATAACATTGCTTCTGTCTACATCATGTACTCTTTTACCCGAGGAGAAACTAATTGAAGATAGATGAACAGAGGAGATGACACACCACATAATTCGAATAATGACCGATAAAAACAAGACAACATTGCCAAAGAGAATGACTCAAAAACCTATTTTGAGGAGCCAACCATGGCTTCCGCAAGCCAAAATAAACAACACCAACAATGACCGACTTGACTTGCGGTCACTTATACAACTATTCCAACAACAATGCCAAACTTCATATAAGTGATGATAACATTTTCCAGCAGAACCGACTCTCCCATCAAACAACAACAACACCCCTCGGACTTAGTTGATTCCTCAGCTTAGGGTTTTTCCACCTCCGATGATTCTTCTGCCTTGACAGAAGTGGCTGGAGCTTCCTCTGAAGCTTTCTCTGTTTTGCTTTCAGCAACGCTCAATTTCTCCAATAGTCCAGCAGCTGCCGAGGCATCCTCGCTCTCCTTCTCTTCGCTCTTTCCGAGAGTTTCTGTAATGCTTTCAACCGTCTCCATGAACTTCTTGCAGTCTGCACCAGATGACCAAAGCCAAAGGTCACAAGTCAAACATAAGTTGGGACAGTAGGGAAGAAAATAAATAGAGAAGAGAGGACAGGTGATAATTAATTATTTTTAATCCACTACAGTAACAGGGGAAGCTATGACGAGAGAGAGAGAGAGAGAGAGAGAGAGAGAGAGACGAGGACAACAAATTTATTCTGCATCTTGAAAAATATAAATGTTTTGTTTTGTTCCGGATAAGTGTCATGTGAAGCTGGGTGCAAAAACTTGCAGGTCTAATTAATTTCCTGCCTAAATGCTATCAAGCACACATGTCCCAATGTTTGGCATGAAAGACACAGGACGACATGCTTAATGAAGTAAATTTTGCAACAAATTTAAGAATAAACAGATATCGAGGTTGAATTGCATGAGCACACACATCCAAGAAAATAGCTACAAAAAAAAAGGGAGAAAAAGGAGAAACTCTACATATGCTTCGACTGACCAACAAACAAACAAATATGGAGTTTAATCATCACACCAATGCGGTACATCGACTAATCCCACTTTGAAGTTTGAGAATAGTTATGATGGTGTCTAGGGCCTTGAGCATTTTTTTTTTTTTACTACATTCCAGATTGAGTTATTAGGCCACTAAGTCCACTGAACCGAATAATGGATTATGACAACACAACCACAGTTTTAAGTATTTATTTCACACTAAATGCTCAAAGCCATTTACTATTATCACAGAATAATTGGATATACCCACCATCTCTCTCTCTCTCTCTCTCTCTCTCTCTCTCTCTCTCACACACACACACACACACGCACATAATAATTCAGTTTGACCCTTGGCGGTGCATGTCCATGGAAGAATACAAGAACCCTGCTCATTAACGTGCATTCTTAGTAAAACTTTGGACTGTAGGTGTACCAAGAGAACTTCTATTTTCAGATAATTTCATTTGTCAGACTACAATAACATAGGAGATCATCAAACGGATCGATAAAATATAATCATGTGCATGTATAAAAAAAGTGGGTTGATGGTCCATCATGGCATTATAAGTGAAATTAACGTGCACTCTTAATAAAACATAAGTGTTTCAATTTAAGTCACTCCATCTTTTTTTGTTCAAAATTCAAGAAATTGACTAACTAATCATATTTGCTTTGTTTATATCATGAAATACTTAAATTTTCGAATAAAAAATTTGGTGGGATTCATCAAAGGCGATTAACCACACTTATATCTGATACTTAGTGATGAATGCAACATAAACTCCATCTGCTACAACTTATAACTTCAATATAAACATTCAAAGAGCTAAGATGTAGAAATTACAAGTTCAAAAAACTAATAGAATGCAAATGGATAGCAAACTCCCTTTCTTGAAAGGACAATGTAAGCACCCCAGTGACTCTACTACCACATATACTAGGTTGGCTTACAAATACCACCATGATTATGGTGACAGCTCAACCTAGGCTAACAATTACATGGGGGACAAAAAACAATGACCACAACTCCAAATATTAAAATCAAGTGATCTTAAAAAAAAGGCCTAGAGATTACTGGCATAAAGAATTCTTTCAGCGTACGCACAAAAAAAAATGGCAAAAATAGACAAGTAGAAAATAATGGAAAGAAGGTAAATCACGCATATGCAATAACAACACAGCTAAAATACCCACAAACAATAACTTTGATACGTATATTAGATCTAAAAAAATCTAAGATTGGATGATGTTTTCGAGTCTGCAGCACACAAATAATAAGAACCGACCCTAATTGGACGAAAGTGGATGAACTTATGCTATACTTGTTTCACATCTAAACAAAAAGATCTAAGCAGGCTCTTCTCCCAAACAGTAAGAATTACAGTATAACTACTTAAAAAAATTTTGGTATTCTGGTTAGTGAACCAGCAAAATCAGCACAACTCAAAAATTTTCAGCAAAGTCCTCTATGACTCGTTACTGAAGCAAGTCTTCTATAACTCGCTACCGAGGCAAACGAACAACCATAAATCAGTGACCATGTCTTGGTAATGTTAGGACGACAGCACGATGAACAAAATCTCATCGGGCCTCTGTGAAGCTTAAAAACCTCATAAAGGTGTCGGATATGGTATCAGCAAATCGAACTAAAGCAGCAACTACTAGAGCAAGGAATTAGAATGAATTAATTTCGGTTAGATGGAGTTAGAATAGCAACTTGCGAACAAATGAAGATGAAAAAGCTCACTTTCTACTGAGCCGAACCGAATGCAGAACATCTCCTCCTTCAGCTCCCCATCAGCGAAATCCGACGCATGCCACACGCACGATTTATCATTCCCCGCGTGCTCCTGAATCTTGATCGACGGAATAACTGAGACGGCAACAAGGAAATTCCAGATCCAACCAAACGAGAACCAAGAACCAAGAAACCAACAAGAGCTCCACCTAGATGGTTGGCGCAGATCTTGAGGGTCTTCGCCTGGCGCATCACCAGCCGCACCTTTCCCGTCTCCCGGTGCTTCAAAAGCTTCACGCTCCCCGTGCCCCTCTCTTTCCACTGGTTCCCCTCCTTATCGAACCGGTACAGCTTCGCCTTCCTGAAAAGGACGAAGGCAAAGCAAATCAAACCTCAAGATCTCGAAGAGTCCAACAGGGCGATCAGGAACAAAGAAAAAGACTACAGATCGAGCAAGGCGTCCTCCTCCTCCTCGCCGGTGGTGACGGCGACTTCCGAGAGGGTGACGATGGGGGCGATCTGCGCGCCAGTGTCCTCGTCCTCGCCGGCAACAGCCTCCTCCTCGCGATCTGGATCGTTGCTCGCCATGGAATTCCAATCGGGTGTGAGACGTGATGAGAAATGGATCGATTCGAGAAGTGGAAAGCCATTAGGGTTTAGGCCCTTATATAAGGGCTTTAGCGAGGTGGGGGCCGAGGCGGTGAGTGGGAAAGCGGAAGAACACGCAGAAACTTTATGCACGGATCTATATCTGCCGTCTATTTTCACCTGTCAAGAGATCTGACCCGTTGGATTAAGTGCCGTTTAGGGAAAATGGACGCTTTCAGATCGACGAACTATTCGATCGGACGGAGATGGACGATTTTACATTCTTATCCTCTCCAAGTTTGACAACAGGGAACATATCTGCCGTCAGTTATATCCTGTGGAGAGATCTGAGCCGTTTGATCACAACTGCCGTGTATGAGAAAATGGACGCATGAGATCGACGAACTATTTGATCGGACGGAGATGGACGATTTTACGTTCTTATCCTTTCCGAATGTGAGAAAGGCATATCTACGTACATTCGCGTCGTGTACATGATGGCGTCTGTACCCCACAGGTGGGTCCCGGAGAAGCCAATGTCGAATTCCAATCACCGCTTGGGTAGGAAAGTGGGCATACATATTGGAGATCGGAAACGTAAGTGGCCGTTCCTTTCGAGCTTCAAGCTTACGACCGTATCTTTTTGTCTCGTAAAAACAAAAAAGGAATCCTCCCAAACAAACATTAAGCAAAATATTACAGTGAATTATCGTCGATGTCCGAGTCAATCGGACGTAGTCCAAATTCAAAGATATAAAAGTGTAAGTAAATTTGAGGTGATTGTTGAGTGGCCGTGAGGTGGGAGGTCGAGTTTTCGAGACGTCACCTACATTAAAAATACTTCGATTTCTCTTTTGTATCTGTCATAATCACGATAAAAGTGATAGTATTTAGATTCATGCGTCCTCTCCAATAGTATCTTCGTGAGTTGATAGTCTTTAAAAAGTTTATTTTTATTATATGTAAAAAGAATTCAGTTCTAATCATGTTTAAGTGAGTCGATTCTACCCTTGGGCAACGCAGCTTGGGTAAATTATTTTTTCTTCACCTCATATTTTTTATGGGGTTGGTCATTTTTTTCTTCGTCGTGGTGACTAAGGTTGGGATTGACTGTAACCACTCTTGTCGCGATCTCTTGTGCATCTTCTTATGCTTATTCGAGACTATTGCCTCCATTACTATGTATTAGTTGGTCCTTTGGAGGACCTCGAGTACCATCATCTATCGCCTCTTAACCAATGACTAGAAAAGGCGAGAGGCCTTGAGCTCCATAATGAAGGCTTGAATCACGAGTGACGAACGTGCTTCTTGCATGCCATAGATTTTGTTAGTGAATTGAGTGACGAAATTAAAGAGTGTCGCTTCCTCTCCTTACCTAAGTTCGAATAGCATCATTGCCAATGGTCTCGAGCGTATATTCTCGAAGAAGTACAGCCCGAACTCTTTTGCAAGCTTAGCAAATTAGTAGACCAAGAGTGGCTTCAAGCGAGTGTATCATTCTCGTATCAGGTCTCTTAACATTGTTGAAAAGACATGACATATTAAGACATCTGAAGTATCATACAATGATATTTGGGCATGAAAAGTAAAAGTATGCTCTATCATTGGTACTGTCGTTAAAGGGTTCCAACAATAGGATGCAGAAGTTTGTCAGAATTGGTTCCTCCCAGATGTTCTAAGTGAATAGGGATCGACCTAAGGTGGGATCGATCGGACTCTTCCTTATGGACAGTTGAAACTCCCATCTCATCTAAGTGTTGGTCCATTTATTATAACCAGACCCTTAGAGAGTCATCAATCGAATCCGTTGATTGAGTCTTAGATTTGGGCAGAGCAGAACGAAGGTGCGGTGGTGTGTTGAACTCCACAATTGGGGAGTTGGGCGCTCCTTTGGTTGGCAATTCTGTAGGCCTTGGGCAATCCTAAAATGTTGGCATCGCATTGGCTAGGGGGATCTCAATGAGTGTCGATGCTAATGGCAGTTAAGGTGTCGACCATGGCTATGATGATGATGTCACTTGTTGGGTTAGCTGAGGTAAGAACGGGGTGACAGCATGCATCATGCTCGTAAGTGCCTGCACTTGAGATGTGAGATTTAGGAATACCTTAGCGGATACGAGTAGGTAGCTTGAGTTCATCACTAAAAGTGAGAGACTTGGGCCATTGAACAAATGCTAGTACCTCACCGATATTTACATCAAAGTGGACGCATCCACGTGTGAGAAGAATATCAGTTGTTTCCCCAATTAAAAATATTATAGGTTAGAGGCAGGTCTCCTCATTAGAGCATTTGTTGAGAGGATTACCTTTTATATTTGATCTTGGAGGGGACAACTTGTAACATCTTCAATGTCCCTTGACATTTTACCCATCTGGGCTATAAGAGGGAGACAAATTTTTATCCATACGAGGAAATGGGAGGAGATTGATTTAGACCTTTTTCTTTCGTGATCACTTTTTTGTGATGCTTATGTGTGACCATTAACATATTCTGTATTATATAATTTAAGTAATATGCTAACATACCATGTGATTTAGAGAGACGATAAAAGAGAACGGCAAATAATATCAATTAATTGAGGTCTTTTTGGTGTACAGAATTACCTATGTTTATAGATGATGTAACAGGGCGGTCAAGTGTGCAGCCCAATATGATACAAACTCTAAATTTAAACAGACTTGGGTAAGGGAGTGGCCCTCCAATCTGCTCTTTTTGTTAGGCACTGATGCAATAATGGGTGGATTCCACACCTGATATAGTAAATAATATATTTTAAAAAAATGATGTGTTATTGGCCAAACATTTGTTGTTACGTTAAACGGGAAAGATGCAAAATTCTAACTGATTATTAATTAATTATAAACATTTACTTATTTTTACCCCAATTTGAAAGTTCGGTGCGATTTCGTAGAAACTCGTTCTCCCGCTCGATGCCTTCAAGTCGCCCACCAACAAACTCCCAACAGAGTCACTGGAGACGGATCCGAACACCACAATGGCCTCCCTCGAGCAGCCACCTCCCGCTTCGGTCCACGTCGACGCCACCGGCGCCTCCTCCTCTTCCCCAACCCCGCCGCACCCCCGCCGCATCCCCTCGTGGCGCCACTCCCGGAGGCTCCGCATCGAGATCGACCTCCACCTGCCGCGGTGCGGTCTCCGCCCCAGCAAGGTCCTGATCCACTCCTTCTGGATCTCCCTTGTTGGTCTCTTCCTCATCCGCCTCGCCACCGCCGTCACGACGGCCACCGAAGTCAGGGTCTTCTCCATCGCTGGCGCCGTCGCCGCCTTCCTCCCCTGGCTCCTCCTCTTTCTCTCCTCCGCCGCCATCACCGTCCTCCTCGAGACCGGCGTCTGCGACCTCACCTGGATCTTCTCCGGCTCGGGGGGCGGTCCGCCAGGAGGGGAGCCTCCCCTCGTTTCCGGCCATGGCGACGACGATCGGGACGGCGAGGGCATTGGCGGAGGCGAAGCTAGCTATGCGATCGTGTCATCTACCATGGTGACCGACGCGTCGACGTTCTCCACTACGCAAAGAGAGCCAAGCCTCGTGGGCATCGGCGGAGGCGAAGCGAGCTATGGGATTGTGCCGTGTACCATGGGGACCGACGCGTCGACGTCCTCCACTACGCAAAGAGAGCCAAGCCAAGTCTCCTGCCAATGTGACGGGGACCGCGACGACGAGGGCGAGGGCAGCGGCGGAGGCGAAGCGAGATATGGGATTGTTTCGTATACCACAGGGACCGAGGCGTCGTCGTCCTCCGGTACGCGAAGCGAGCCGCGGCTCGTCTCCGGTCCGGGCGACGAGGACTGTGACGACGAGGGCGAGGGCAGCGGCGGAGGCGAAGCGAGCTATGGGATTAGCTCCTCTACCGCGGGGAGCGAGGCATCAACCTCTTCCGCGACGCCTCCAGCGGTGCTGCCAGAGTCCGTGGAGTCGGCGCCGCCGGTCTGATCCCTTGCGCCAGCGAGCTCTGTGAGACTTGTCTCCAATTTTTTTTTTGGTTTTTAATCGCTTCAATAATATAATTTTTAATTATTCTTCATTGGCATTTCTACTTGCCACGTCTATATTTTTATAGGAGATTTATGCATTAGAACATTTCGTTAAATATTTAGTAAGCTGCTTGGCATTGTAAATTCCTTAACACCATGAGCAGATTAGTAGTTATAGAATTTAGTTTGTATTTCTTAAAACTATGACAGCAGAGTTTTGCTGTCATAGGGGTTTTGCAAATTTCTATCAAATTGATTCAACATATGAATTAATTGAATATATATATATATATATTAATATTAATATTATAAATATGATGTGGATGGGATTTGAATACAAGACTTTTGGTTATGAAATCGATTTAAATTAAATCTCAACTGCCCATTCTATTAAAAAAAATTGATTTGAAGTAACACACGAACGGTCAGGATTTAGAGGGAAAGTGAAATGGACGGTAGTGAAGATTCTTTTGTTCTCTCTAACAAACTCGATGATGCTGTGTCGCCGATCCAATCCCGAATTGCATAGAAAATGAATTATCGGGTATGGATCTTTTCATTTAACCCGAACCCAATCGAGATGAAAGCAATACAATAGTGTCAACCGAATCGGGCTATCGGTTTTTCGGGTCCAAACGCGTATCCACCATTTCGCGATGACAGGTTCAGATCCGAAGGAGCACGTTCGTTACATCGCCATAAATACAAGGGCAAACTTGGGACTTTGGCCCTCTCTCAAGTTGGCCTTCGAGAGCGATCAAAACCTACAAATTAGTGGATATTGTTAATATCTTAATCCGTTTGTGGATAATAAAAATATTATAAGGATCAATAAAAATTATTTACAAAAAAAATAAAGATGAAAAGTTTTGATCTTAGAAGTCCAATAAAATAAATAAAATCAGTTAATTCTCGGATATATATATATATATATATATATAACAAAAAAAAATCTTTCACTAATACTTGACTGATATTTCTCAACACATATTGGCACTTAAGAACATATTATGACTCTAATATCATTAGCACTTTTTTACTTATATCATCTACAGGGATTGTGTGTATAAATAGGATTTCTGAAATTAATGTTTTAAATTTTTGTTAAAAAACATTTTCAAGGATAAGCATTTGCTATTGTCATGCTGCTTATAAATAATTCTTAGTCAGTCCCCACAGAAGAAATTAGATCCGGACCCGAAACCTCAAGCGGGTTACATTTGAGACGGTTCGGGTTTGAATCGGATCCTGGTTGTAACTGATCGGATCCGGGTAATCGAGTTCTTGGTGTCATCCTCATAAATAATTACTCAATTTCAAGCAACTTGTAACCCATTCGCGCTCCCTCTTTTCTCCTCTCTCTCTCTCTCTCTCTCTCTCTCTCTCTCTCTCGATCCCTACCGCGATGTTTGCCGAGGGCGGAGAGAGGGGCGTTCCGGGTGGCGGCCCCCTGGATCTGAGTGCGGCGTCGAGGATTTGGCCCAACTATTTCCCGCAGGTGGAGTTCGCCTTGGAGGATCGCAAGGTCAAGCTCGTCGCGCTGCTTGCTGATTTCTTCTGCACACCCCAGGCCGATCCTTTCCTTTCTCAGGTCCTGAGATCGTATTATCCCTGGTTGCTTCTTTGACTTAGGGTTTCTAGCTCTGGGTTCTTAGGTGTCAGTACTAATCTCTAATGGTAAATGATCTACGGTGTGGAAGGTTAGTCGGTGGTAAATTGCGGGTGGTGCAGAAGTAAGAGATTACACAGATTGAACTCAAGTCGTGATGCTTATCCCGAGAGCAAAATAAGCTATGATGAGTGCATTCTGTCCTGGATGCGTATACCGAAGATAAGGTCTGTCACTATGAATATATGGATCGGAATGCGTGGGAATTAGTGCCACTGAAAAAAGTTGGAGAAATTGATCTTTGTCATTTTGTTTTGCCCCCAGGAAATTAGTTTCGTTAGGTTGTAGGCTCTGATTGAATGGTTTGCTTCCAACGTTGATGATTGTATTTGCGTTATTGACTGCGCAAGCTACAGGTAGATTGCGTTGAAATTGACCTAATATTGAAGTCCTTGGAGAATGGGAACCACAGGGCATATGATTTCAATTTTTGATCTGTTGTTTTATGTTATTTATGTTGTGTCTTTCATATTTTGACCCAGTGGTCAACTTAATGTCTTTACTGAAAGAACTGGATGATGCCCTCTTTTGAATTTTCTACCTTAATTTCCACATTAACAGCTTTCTTTTTTGAAGCAGGTGCAAGATGATTGTGGCACCTTCTTTCTCCCCATTGACATGCAGCATTTCCAGAAGGCATGTGGAGTTGATGAATTTTATGCCGTTTTGGAGGAAGCACCTAAGGAAGCTCTGTCATGCATGGGTGCTGCAGTTCACATGGTACGTCTCATAAAATCATCTAACTTTATTTGTTCTACTTTTATATTGTTATCCATACGTTTACCACCAGTTGTTAGACCGTGAACAGGTTCTCTCAACAAAGAAGATTAATTATCATTTGGAGGATGCAGAGAAAATAAACATTAGGCTATATAACCACCCTGATTCAATGATCACTTTAAAGAACTTGAAAGCTGCATATATAGGTTGTGTTTTATGTTTCTGACTATTTTCCCCCTTGGCCAGCCATAATTTTAGTGCACAAAGATTGAGGGCTTTACATTATTGTTTGACAGGGAAGCTAGTTTCAGTGCGTGGTTCTGTTGTCAAGGTCAGCACAACCAGACCTTTGGTTCTGCAGATGGAATTTGCATGTGGAAAGTGTGGAACTGTTATTGCGCGTGTATTCCCTGATGGAAAGTTTTCTCCTCCAGTAGCTTGCAGCATCCATGGATGCAGGAGCAGAACTTTTATGCCAAATAGATCTACTGCAAAACTGATAGATTTTCAGAAAATAAGGTATGCCTTTTTTCTCTCAATTGGAAGTTACAGTTTTATCTTATGCAGCTGCAAACTGAAATGTTGATGTTATCTTTTCCCTTGTCAGAGTCCAGGAACTTCTTAAATCTGAAAATCATGAAGAGGGTCGGGTGCCTCGAACTGTTGAGTGTGAATTGGCTGAGGATCTTGTTGATTCTTGCATTCCTGGTGATGTTATAACAGTTACTGGAATTATAAAAGTAATTAATAATTACATGGACATTGGAGGAGGTATAGTATTTGCCTGCCGCTATGCTCCTAGAAATTGACTGTCCCATTCATGTTTTCGCTTTTGGAATTATACCCGGCAATCATCTCATATGATATAGGATATAGTGATAGATATAAATTAAACTGATTGATTGGAACCAAATGTTAAAAGAGAATTTGTTGAAACATTATTAAACAACATGATTATATTTGTATTATAACATTTTGTAAAAAATGATTTCTGTTGTAATATTTTTGATCCTTGTGACTGATTTAATTTGGAAACTTAGTGTAGTAGAAGAGATCAATGAGTTTGTAGAAGTTCAATAATGAAACTTCTAAGCTAAAATTTTATGTGATCGATCTCACAACACTGTTCTCCTTTGAACAAAAACATGCAGCTCTGTGGCTGGTGCTTCCATCTTGCCCTCTGATTCTTAGTGTGTGCAGTTGAGATGGTTTCTGCTTGGACTGCTTGCATACTTCAAGAAGTAAAACCATCACTACAACCTTCTTGTTCCATGAATTATTGCATAATTTTGCATATTCCAAGTGACATTTATACACAAATTGTGTTTAACACTGAATTCTTGTTTTCATGTGTTTGCCTAAAATTCTTAATGACTGCTATTGTATTTGCTGGTTATGACATGGTAATTTCGTGACATAATAACTTTTTATATATCATCTTGTGCTATGTGACTCATTTTCTTAAGAATTTGGAAATTACACTCTTCTTTCTTTCTCTCTTGGGAAGCAAGAGAAGCAATATATTATTTGTTTCTTCATGTTTTGGTGTAGATTGAAATAAAGTGAACTTCTGCAATTTTCCAGGAAGGTCCAAAAACAAGAATCAGGGGCTGTATTATCTATATCTGGAAGCAGTTTCTGTTAGAAACTCAAAATCTCAGAGTACTGAGGATGTTCGTGTAACTAATTCTGAAAGTGGAGCTTATATGCTGTTTGATTTTTTTTCCTTTTCACCAAGAGATCTTGAATTTATTGTGAAATTCTCTGAGGAGCATGGTTCTGACATATTCCGTCAGATAGTTCATTCTTTCTGCCCCTCTATCTATGGGCATGAACTTGTGAAAGGTATGCTTATTTTCATTGACGATATGTGCTGTTAAGCAGAATTATTCTAATGCAACCTTTTCTACTAAAAGATTCTTTAAAGTCTTATCTTTGTCAGTATATATTGACAGATTATTACATTCTATAATGGTACTTATCCTAACTTCCATTGACATTACCAATTTTTTTTTTTTTTTTTACAGTGATGCATTTTTTGTCATTTATTTTTTGACCAACTGATCATGCGGTCATGGAGACAAGAAAATAAATCAAGAGAAAATACCATTTTTATTTGAAAGATACCAAAAGAAAGAAAACCTGGTTAAAAGAAATAGCATGTTAAAAGAAATCCTTTCCACAGGATCTAAATTTCAGATACTATGAATATATCACAGTTCAGGCATTTTTCCTCCATCATCATTGAAAAAGAGTGCAACCACCACCAATAATACACCATCATCTCTAGGTCCTTTGATTGGCAACAACAAACCCAGTTGTCCAGTCTTCTGATTTCTTGGGTGCAGGAAAAAAATGCTCTATTTATTGCCCTGTTTCCTTTTCTCAGTAACTGAATTATTTTACATCTTTTACCAATAAAACTAATTTGACTGTTTGCATCACAAGAAATGTCACAGTACTAAAGATTAAACTAAAATTATAGAGGCATGCTTTCTTAGCTAGAACATCCGAAAAGCTCTAAGAAGCATGCTCAAGGTATGCCTCAGTACAGCTTATAAACCTCATCTAATGCAAGAACCAAAACTTAGTTCAGTGAGCTTTATGCCTTAGGTGTTTCTAAAAGTCTGATTATCACAGTCATTACTCTTTGCCATAACTAAATAAATGTTATGACAGAAAGCTGCTCAGTATGAGGCAAGTATATTGTCAATTATAAAGAAGCAGGTGATTTGAGTTGACCTGGCAGATATCTATCCGCCAAAATTATCAGACCAAAACCTCTACCATGCTACTTGACACTTCCCTTTTTAGGTCTATTACCTTTGTACAATTATTGCCACCATTGCTATTGTTGATTACACACTTACTAATGCTTCATCATCCTTATCATTGTCATTGTGCAATCATACTTGTTTGTCTATACTATCAGCATTAAAATTTTAAATTTGTCCTAAAATGAAAATGTGTTCCATTGGCCAGACCTGGTGATTACTTATTCCTGATTTAATTTAGTGGGAATTTGCATCTACAAGGGATTACTGTGCTTTCGTTGATAAGTTTGATCCTCTCTGTAGCTGGCATTGTGCTTGCACTATTTGGGGGGGTGCAAAAGCATTCGGTGGATCAAAACAAGGTCCCAGTTCGAGGAGATATTCATGTCATTATTGTTGGTAATTGCAATCTACACTTTGTTTACTGAATTCTTTCTGGCTTGTCTGTTTTGTAAATTTACTGCTAATTTGCAGCTTGTGGATTTATCATTGTATTTTGGCATAAAACACTTGTTTATATAGGCTTTATCATCTTTGTTGTAGGTGATCCTGGATTAGGTAAGAGCCAACTCCTGCAAGCAGCAGCAGCAGTTTCCCCTCGAGGCATCTATGTTTGTGGCAATGCAACTACCAATGCTGGCCTAACTGTTGCTGTCGTTAAAGATCCTATGACAAGTGATTATGCATTTGAGGCTGGTATACATGAACTTTTGGCATATTTTTGGTGTTAACTTTTATATATCTTTTTCCATGTTCCATTTGTCATTAATATCTCTGTGAGGCTGCAAGAAAACTACATTTCCAGCCTTCTTTTAATATAACCTTCAGTTTAAGTAATCATTACAAAAGGCAGCTGTCATATATGCAGGTGCATGTGCACTTGTATTCATATGTTGTATACTATATATCTTGATGATTAGCATTGATGGGTTTACCACAGGTGCCATGGTTCTTGCTGATCGTGGGTTATGCTGTATTGATGAGTTTGATAAAATGTCTGCGGAACATCAGGTACCATGATAGTTATATGATGATCCATGAAAAGGTGCCTTCATCGTTGGGCTTATGAAGAATTTGGAAATCCTAATTGAATTCAGTTTCTTAGGCTTTACTGGAAGCCATGGAACAACAATGTGTCTCTGTTGCAAAGGCTGGATTGGTGGCAAGTTTGTCAGCTCGTACCTCTGTTTTAGCAGCAGCAAATCCTGTTGGCGGTCATTATAAGCAAGTTTCTCCCAGTTGCTTCTTCAGACCTTTTAGATTATTGTCCTAGGAAATTTCATTCATGTGCTTCAATAGTGATATATCATGTGTGAGCTTCTATCTAATGCTCAAATGAAACTTCTCTTATTCTAGTTACGCAAGTCAAAGGAAATGTTAGTTACTAAGAATAGTGTCCTAAGATTTCCTAGCTACATAAACTCTTCATTATGAAGTCTACTGTTCCTTTCAAATGGAAAAGAAGAGAATGATATCACTGTTAATGTTTCTGGTTGTCCATGGACAAGTGTGAATATGCTTAGACCAAAATTTGATTTTCGAAAGGAAAATTTAATTAAGGCATAATGTTGATGGAATAGATTTTCAGGAAAGACCTAGGGATACATGTTATGAGGACAGCACACTGGATGTGAGAAAAAAGTAGTGTTTTGTTGTAAGGGATAAATTAAGTTGTATAACCAATTCTTCTGGATCTTTTGATGATTGTAGGTTTTGTTTTTGTTTATTCATAGACGTCCTGGGGTTTAAATTATAGAAGGGTTTTTCATGTATAACACTCATTTTGCTGTGAAATCATAGAAAATCCCCTCTTTATTTATATCTGGAACTCAACATGACTTTTACATAATTATATCTTGAATATCTCTTTGTTTTGTATGCTATATTTAGATTTGGAACTTAAGTACTTGAACTACCCTTGTCTGTCTCTTTTGCTTTTAACCTTCACCTCTATATGGTTCTTGATAGTGGTAGTTCTTGAGGATAAGAGGCAACAGTGACGAAGATAGTGATGGCAATGGTGCTGAATTTGGGGACTGTGGTTGTGATTGACAAGGATGGACAAACTATAAAACCACAGTGCTGTGGAGTGACAAATGGGTGGAGCATGGTGAGGAAGATAACGTGGTAGGTGCAGTTTGTGACATGGCAATAATCATGGTTTCAAAATGGAGCAATGACGTCATGGATGTGAATGATGGAGAAGGAGGGGGAGGAGGAGGAGGAGATGGTGGCGGTGGCTGTGATGGCGACAATGTGATGAGTTTAAGTGAAAGAAAAGGTGGTGGTAGTGGTGAACACAGGAAAAGGAGCTGGTCTCAATTTGGTATAGCATAGGGATAGCAGCAAGCTGAGTGGGTGAGGATTGTTTCATAATTATGTTTCAGATTTATGTACAAGTATATTACAAAGAAAGGGTATTTTCCAAGACAATATGAGTTATTTGTGGATTAGGTGCATCGGAGTTTTATGTAATTTTGGGACAATGCAAGGCTTATATGTGAAATTCCTTAAGAAAACGGAAACTTTTGAGTAAAGATGGCTTCTTGTTAGAGAAACTTGTTATAATTTAATTGCTTCAAGCTTATCTGTCAATAAATGATATAATGTTCCAGATTGTGTTTGTTTTTTAACAATCGTTAGAAATTCTACCTTAGTTGCAATAACATTGATCAAATAAGACAATGTAATGGAAGCAGTCTTTTTTTCTATGATTATAGCAACATTAATGCACTAGAAAATGTCCAAATTTTACTCAAGAATCAATTGTCCATATTTCTCATATTATTGATACTTTTTCCTCATAAAATTCTTTATTGTTATCTTCACTTTCGTAAACTGCAGTATTGTCATGAATCGCTTCAATTGTTTTGGGTTTCTTTTAATTCAGGACTACAAAAGTATCTTATTTTTCCAATGGTTTGCCTTCTCAAATTTGCTTGAAATTACTATTTTAAGTTATTGCATTGTTGGTCTATGTCATCTATTTGAGCAGCTTTCATTTGTTATCAATAATCATTGCAGCCGGGCAAAAACTGTCAATGAAAATTTAAGAATGAGTGCTGCTCTCCTCTCACGATTCGATTTGGTTTTCATTTTACTGGACAAACCAGATGAGCTGCTGGATAAGCGTGTCTCTGACCATATAATGGCAGTAAGTCACCATACTGATTGTAATTGCTGTGGGGCTCTGTTGTATGTGCACCATGCAGATAACGTTCTTCATTTTTGTAAGCATAAGGATGACATGAAATATACTACCATCAAAATTTATGTACCTATTTTTCATATGAGAGAGCTGATCCATATCTTTGTTAGATATTTGATAGATTTTAAATCTCATATTGCAGCTTCATACAAGGAATTCAGAGCATTTGTTTTCTACCAAGAAGCAACGCACAGGTACTATCTCTCTTTTGTTTATTAAAAAAGTTGAAGTTCATGTGACAAAAAAATTAATATAGCTTACGCAGCTATGCAACCTGACAAGAACATGGAGGTAGGTGTTCGTATTGGTTCATTGAGTTCAAGGTTGAGACTGGACCCGGTGAAAGACAAGGACTTTGTTCCCCTTCCTGGTCCTCTTATTCGCAAGTATATTGCTTATGCAAGAAACTTCATCTTCCCTAGGTAATTAATTTATGTTAAAGGTTGTGTCACTTGTGATAATTTTTGTGTGTTGCTGTCAATGAACCTTGTTTCTTCTTTTTTGTAAGGATGTCTAGACCAGCAGCTGAGATTTTGCAGAAATTTTATCTGCAACTTAGAGATAATAGTACTTCAGCTGATGGCACACCTATCACTGCAAGGCAGTTGGAAAGCCTAGTGAGGCTTGCAGAGGCTCGTGCTCGATTGGATCTCAGAGAAGAAATGACCGTTGAAGATGCAATGGTAGTCTTCTGAACTGTTTGTCCTCGTGAACTCTTATATTTATGTGCAGTGCATGTCATGCATGTTATTAACTAACTCAATTTATGGTCTTTTTCGAATTGTGGCTGATTAGACATCAGGAAGGAGTAACATACTATAAAGGGCATTTGAATACACGAAACTTGATATATCCTATCAGAAATAAAAAGGCAGATAAATCATCTTCGGAAGCATTAATTTTCTACTTTGTCTTCATCAATTATTAATTACAATAACAGATTCATTTTAGGCCCTCAATTAGAGGGCTAGCCTTGGTATCACAATAAGATTACTCCTTTGCAATCTAGGTGGCCAGCGCTTGGGTTATGGAATTGGTTTCTTGGCTTGTAAATTAAGACAGCATTTATTGACCCTTTCTAAATATTGCTTTTGCGGGTGTCTTATGTACTATGCCACCCTTTTCTTTGTGTCTTCTCTGGATGTTACATGAGTTTCTAATTATCAAAAGTTGGTTAAGTGTATTGTTACCATGCAGCAATTTGTTGGTGTCCAAATAGATACAGTTGGTAGCAGAATTTTTGTTCTGCCGCAGATATTGCTTTGTTATCAGAAATTCATTAAATTATCATTATGCCACTTCATGTGGTTGGCAGGACGTGGTCGAGATAATGAAAGAATCCTTGTATGATAAATATGTTGATGAGCGTGGTTTTGTCGATTTTGCACGGAGTGGTGGGATGAGTCAACAGAAGGAGGCAAAAAGATTCCTGGGTGCTCTTCACAAACAGTCCGAGTTGCAGCAAAAAGATTGCTTCTCAATTTCTGTAAGCAGCATAATCCTTTGATTGCATAAAATGTGGATGGTCCTCATTTCTCTTAATTCATGACAATACCTTTTATTTGTTTTCTCAGGAGATATACAGCTTGGCAGACAAAATCAGTTTGCGGGTTCCAGATATAGATACATTTGTGGAAAATTTGAACAGTGTAGGATATCTGCTTAAAAAAGGACCTAAGATGTATCAGGTAATTCCATTGCGACTTCATGATTTATAAAGTGGATAAAGAAAAAAAAATATTTAATGGACATAATAGCAGTAGTTGCCTTTGAAGTCAGTGTAAAGCAAAGTGTCGGCAGAATGAGACAAGCATACGAGGGTAGTTGTAATTTAAGATGAGAAACTAATCCCATTAATGGAATATCCTGCGAGTAGTGACTAGTATTCTGAAATTTGAACAAGATTTCACTGTAATTCGATAAGAGAAGAAAGATAATTTTTAGATGCTGGGTCATATAGAGTGAAGGTTTGCTCATATAGAGAGACCTCTCATGCCTACACTCTCATCATTCTATTTTTCGCTTATCTCCCTTACTTACCATTGGTGATTTTCTCAGCACCACCATGTGGTGACCATTAGCAAGAAGGCAAAATCATAGGATTAGCAAAACCTACAGGTCTGGAAACAGCCTGTATATTTATAATTTTCAGTATGTTTGAGCTCATGAATACTTTATTTTAGTCAAGAAACATTTCTGTGCAGGTTTTGTCTTCGTCATACTCTCACAGCCAGTCAACAAGATCAAGATGCTAATAGTCGCTTGAGCATTTAGTAAGTCTCACCTATCATGCTTGTTGAAAGTCTGTTTTGTGCATGCAGTAGCAGTTTACTAATCGAAGCATCTTATGTTCCACCAATAGGATTGTGGTAAAAGAGTTTCAAAGAGGACAGGTCTACCGATATATTGCCAGGTTTGACGAAGCTATTCTTCTGTTATTATTGGATATGCATTCATGGGTAATAGAATCATTGGCTTTTGTCAATTTTGAGTTATATGTGATCATCGTACCACATATTTGTTATCTTTTACAAATGATGTTTCTTGTTTGTCTCATGGTATATAAAGATCATTCAAGAACTTCACATTCTTTTTTGTTGATCTCCTGCAGTGCAAGGAATACAATATTAGCTTGCTGAAAGTGTATTCTGCGCATCACAGTTGATAGGGCTTAGCTTAGCCAAATTTACTCATTCATGCTTTTCTGTTCAATTCTCCATCGGAAGTGTATTCTGCTGCTCGTTTTTGCATGAAAGGTCTGTATTTTTCTTCTCCACCCCCCACCCCCCCAAAAAACTTCTTGATTATTTCCATCGTTAAGACTTCTACCATCATCCATCTAAACCCATATAAACCTGAACACAAAAGAAAGAAATGTCATGATTCAGCAAGCTTCAAGAAGCTGATTTCATTTCTTTTTTCTCTCTGGGCTGTCATAACATTACCACTATTTATATGCCTTTTCTCTTTATCCCTCGTCACTCATCACCATTACATTAGCCAATACCATCTCCACTTCTGGACAGAGAGAGAGGGTTTCCTTTGGCTGCTCATCTATAGTAATAATGAAATTTATATGGCTATCGTGCCATGTGACTATGCTCGGCACTGCTTTGACGCTCTTTCATTGACCTTATTTGGGTCTAACGAAGCTTGTCTATTAATTGTTATAAGGTTCTTGAAACGAATAGTTATTCTGAATCCAATTGTGTTGTGGGATTTAGATGTTACGATGTTTTGGACAACCGAGTGACTTTGGAGTTCAACTTGATGCTCCGCAGCACTTTTACTCGCACTGACTGAAGTTACAATCAGTCACCATAGACAAGCTAAGAAATATATTTTTGTTTGCAATGATTAGCCCATGCACTGACTGGGCTAATAATCATGCTGACAAATACATTTCTCTTTATCATTGGTTATGCGGTTCAATAGAATCTGAACGTCATATATTTTAGTAGCAAAGTATAACATCGGTTTAGTAGAATTGATGAGACTATAACATTGTTCTAAAGATGCAACCACTAGAATTTAGAATGTGACAAAGGGCAGATAACGAAGACATAATTTGATGGCTGATCCTCTTTGGTGCACATCAGAGTAAATCATGTAGATCTCTTACCTTTTTGTCCACAAATGTAAACCCCCAATAATTTTGGAGAAGAAACTCCATGTTCTTCGCCTTCCAAAAAAACAGCACCTTCTTCACAAGCGTTTCTTATTATTGTAATTAAAAAAAAAATTGTATCTGGAGCTTCTACAGATAGCAGTATCCTTTTATCACATTTCAGAAAACAATCTTATACAGCTTCTCAAAAAGATGTTGCATCACATCTACAAGGATTAAAAAAGTAAATCCTTCTTAAGAAACCAAAATAGAGGATTTTTTTTAATTAATGTTTCTACCTTGAGAAAGTTTAAGCGCACACCTTTAATCTTTGGATTTCATTAGCAAGATAGTAGCAGACAAACTACATAACCAATCCGAATCTGATGTTTCATCGGCTATGTAAATACTGTCAGCTACCCTGCTACATGACAAAATCATATCTTTAATTCAAGTCGAACATCATACTCACAGTTAAAATTGTCAGGCGAAGTCCGTCGGTCATCGGAAAAGGTCCTTGAAGCCTCCACGAATCAATCAGCATTCATGGAGGAAAACAGAACCCTTTCATGAGCCGGCCTGCTTCCACCATGTAAGAAATATCCAACAGTTCTTCCTGTTGTCCCCATGGTAGAACCATGCACCAAGGCAGCAAGAATACCCGAGAAAGGACCCGATAAAACAGGATGAATTGCTGAGAATAAGAGCGCAAGAACAGGAAAGAGATTAATTCCAAATGTCTAAGACACCTCTAAGTTAACTGCATCTACTGTTTAAATAACTTGGTCTGATGTTGAAACATGAGGTCTAATAAACATTTAACCAAAGAAATTCTTACGAGAAACACCAAAAAACTTCTTTAATTGACAAACAGTCAAAAAGAGAGAATACATGCAAAAATAAGCAACTATTGCAGGAGCAAACATAAAAGATACTTAACAAGATGATGAACCTTGTTGCAAGAGAATGGCACTTAATAGAACTTAGAAGTCCAGATGTAACAGCCTCAAGTGATGCAATAGAAGCCCAATCATGGCTAGTCCAGCTTCTGTCCCTTGTATGAATCCTTTAATACTACTATTGCATCATGAACCAGCAAATATAGGTTTCAGATTAAGATGCACAACATGGAAATGGGCATCATTAGGACTATCCAGGAATTTCATCTATCCATTTGCAACAGATATTATGTGACCATATATAGCAAAGGGCTAACACTTGAGGTTATTAAAATTCCTCAGTAAATATTTCCCAAGAAATGTCAAAGCCATTACAAACATTATCCAATCACCAACATGTATATTGCTCTTAGATTAAAAATGATTATACATACATGTAGCCTTCAATCAGAACTCTACATAATTCTATAGTTCTACATTCATCATAAAATTGTTGACAATTCCAAATAATTTCGCGAAGTAAAGCATAGTATATATAATATGACCTTACAACTTAAAAGTAGAAGAACTAAAATAGTTGCTAGTCAATGCAGGACGTAAAAAGATCTGAAAAGGCAATGATAAACCTACCTGACAGTGTTGTGTAAACTCCAAGCCGACAAAACAAGTAGAACTTCAGCATGAGCTCGCTCATCACTCGCTTGGGCATTCCTTTTAATGTGGAGCTGATCAACATTTCTCCAACATTATATTAAAGAAACTATTGGTAAGTTTGCTCCACTTATGCATTCAGTCTTAGACCACTCATCTGGCGTGCATTATATTGAAAACTTATGCGGCAACACTCTAGTTCCTAACAACCACCATCGATTAAAAAACTCTCTATCAGCAAACTTTGCTCCCCAAGACAATCCAAGATCAGAAAATTCCAAAATTCAACATTTTAAGTGTCACCTATCATAAAAGGTCAGAGCTTTGGTTTTGTAGAACCAATGATTCTCCTAGTATTCTCAAATTTGATACAGATAGATAAAACCCATGTTAACCTTTGATGGAAGTGGCTGAATGTATACTCTCACTTTCAAAATGCACAGCCAACCTTTGAAAGTTGCAGCACACGTGTCCATAAACTAACCTGTCTGCTAAAAAGAACCAATGTTATTTATTCAGAGATGCAAGGGCATATACATGGACGATGGACAAATGCTGCATTGTGGCAGTTAACCACTACATCCTAAATTCCCTGTTATATAGATCACCATTTGGGAAAAGAAATTTTCGTTCCTCGTTGCTAGAATAGCCATTAGTTAGCCCAAATCTTTCATTCCTCAAAGCTTCCCTCAAACCCATATCACTTCCAGTCCGTAAATCATTCAAGCCATCCCACTGTTTGTTAAAAAATTGTTTATTTCTCAATTGCTGGAATGATATCTGTGCAATTGGAGAAAGACCCCTACGGTTTTCTGCTGAAAGTTGAGATGTAATATATGTATCACCCAATTGCAAGAATCTGTCTCCCGCAGACTCTGGTATATCCATGTTGTGATAAGAAGAAAGAGACTGCGGCCTCAATAGATGAATCCTTGGGTCACTATCTGAAACGCTAATTTGTGCAGAAAATGTAGATTTAAGGCCCAACCCAGCATTATTTATTCCAAGTGACATTCGCTCCTTGCCGACAGCCAAAATTGCTGGATCAATAAATCCTATATCACTAGGATTTCCAGATATTTGTGTTTGATAATGATTTTCAACTGCACTACTGAGAAGATGATTTTCTGCAAGAAAACAAAAACACATTAAGGAACTGAAGGTCCTGCAAGACGACTGGACAAATTTGATATACAAACCTGAGAACACTGCCTCATGTGTTTGGTAGAATCTATCTTGAGAAGAAAAATCTGGAAGGTGTACTCTGCTTGGAGTGGAAAATCCAGGTGGAGCTGATATCTTAGCCTTCAAAGTACCTTCCATTCATGAGCGAATGAATATCAAACAGAGATCAACAACCCACACAAACAAATTTAAACGAGAGCACAGTATTTAGTCAAGTTCATATTGGCATGATATGCTAAATAAACAATAATTTCACATTCAAAATACCATGTCCATGTAATGAATTCATTGCTTAGTATTTAAGGTCAATTATCGTGGAAGTGACAGAAACCTGTTACACATAAAAAGAGTAATGTCGTGGTAATTGTGTATAGTCACCCATGACCCATGGATCAGGCTTGCTGGCAACAACATGCAAAGTTGACAATAGGTAAGATCTTTTTTTTTAGAATAATTTGACAATAAGCAAGAAGCACTATGCAGGTCCAGAAACTGCATAATGCATATGCAGCATGGGAATGCTTACCACAACAAAAATGTATAATTTTAAAAGCAGCAGATTGGGAACATAGTCCATGAAAGAAATACAAAAAAGAACTATAGCAAAAAAAAGTTCCCCAATCAAAAGGGGAAAAAGGCTTTCGAGAAACCAATGCTCCAAGTTTACCTCTTTCCTGGAATAATTAGCAGAACAAATAACAGAAGGCAGATCTCACATTGTCATTGCATAGATCCATGCAGCATCATATATAGGTGACCAAGAGGGTGTGGTCATAGTGGACTAAGTCTCAAAGGAGAAACCATATGGAACTCCTTAAGATTGCGTCTGCTGGAAAGCAATATACTTGAGGAAGGCAAAGAGTGGGAATAAACATGTGGAGAAGCAGTCACAAACTAGGGCACAGACAGAAGAAAGAGTGAAAAAAAGATACGAGTCAGAGAAAGGGTTGAAGGCTCTCTTGTTTCATCGAAACATATAATCTTTAGACAGATTGCACCAGTTTGGGCTAAAGCCTTTATGCACCTTATGCAGCTGCATGTGTTATGTGTGTTCCAATTATGCAGCCGAATCACATGATGCTGCCACATATATAAGGTATGTGATGAGGCTAAGAGACCAATATGCATACAGGGTGATAACAGGGTTATGTCACTGATCCACGTGTGCGGCTGCAAAGACTGCTTATTGAAACCTTGTCTAAAGGACTCACAGGCTCCCATTTAAACATTGAAAGAATCTAAATAGTTAAAACGAAAGCACACATATATAAAAGTGAACTTAGAGATATCAGAAACAGCAAAAGAGCAACAAGAATATTAAAAAGTTATTACAAGTGAACAAATTTGTGGGTTCATGATAATATTAATAATAAGCAAGCACTTACCAGCAGCCTTGTCAAATGAGACAACAGGGTTGCTGTTGATGACAGTGTTGGGAGACTCAAAAGTATCAAACATAGTTCCATTTCGAAGCCCGTGTTCAAATGAATCATGTGATGAGCAAAACATCTGTGCATGGGCCTCACCTCTGGTAGGTTGTACAACACTCCCTTGGCATTCTTGCCTGGCAAAAGAAAACCTAGACTGATTGCTGTTGTTGGATCTCCAAGAACTTAATAATTTAAAGGAGCTTTCTTGTTTTTCGGTTTCACCAAGCAGTCTAGCAAAACTATTACTTGTAGCTGAGGAGTCATCCCATGGATCAACATCTAGTGACAGTATATCCGAAATGATGCTGCTCTCCCTCTTTATCTCTACAGTTGCATATTTGTTAGAACTGGCTATATCATTAACTCTTCCTGAAGATTTCACCTTTTCTTCATTGCAGTTCATCTCAGGACACTGAAAACCCCTCCCAGGTGAACAACTGTTTTGCTCATAAGCTTTGTGACCATTGGGCAGTGCAGATTCTTTATCGCCTAATGGAAAAAATGGAAGCATGGCCGTCTCCGAATATCTGTCCATATTTCTGCCAACTCTTGGGGTTTGTTTATCTTGGACATAGGTGTTCCAAGAAGTAGAACTTGAACAATTACCGCTATTGTGTGAATGATTTAGGTAAATTGAAGAAGATAGTCTATCAACAGTATCTGAAACTCTAAGTACTTTATTGTCAGAAGGAAGTAGCAAGACATCTTTGTTATTAACTGCAGAGGTCGACTTTTCCTTTAGTAGCTCGCAACTCCGGTCCCTTAACCTGTTACTAGCATCCTTATCAAGCAACAGCAGGGCTTTGTTCAATGAAGCTGAATCCGAGTCATTTGTCAGAGGCATCACAGCTGTAAAACTATTAACATTTGAAAATTGATGCTGGTTCACATGCAACTGATCAGCTCTAACATGGCTATCTATAGTTACTGAAGACAAACTTGAGCATAAACTATGTGTTACCCCATTGACAATACTAGAACCTTGAGTAGCACTACCAGAACCAGACCTGCTGAATTGTCTATCAAAACCTTTAGAAATGGTGCTATTTATTGCCTTTGTGTTGTCACCATTTGCATAAATGGATGTTTCGTTATCTTCTGATGCACTAACTGGAAGGCTATATGAGAAATTTGAGGCCACCTGCGAAGCACGAGGGATGTCCGAGAGATCTATAGTTGATACATCTGATACAACTGTTTGGCTCTGCTCGTCAATAATAGGCATAAACTCGCAATCCGAGTGTGACATTGGTTTTTCTTCACCAAGCTTTGATGTCACAACTATGTCATCCAATGAAGATCTGGATGAACAATTATTTGTTACAACCGCCTCCAGTGATGACCTCAAAGGTTCTACAGGTTGAGAAATGTCACCAACTTGCAGCGATTCTCGGTTTGCTGGCATTTTCGGCGTCATATCCACAAAATTATGCCTCAAAGAGGACTGCTTAGTACTTTCCGTTAACAACAAAGGTGATTTATTAGTTGTTAAAGTCTGGTTTTCAGGCACCTTGGATGTTGTAGCTACTTCATCATTCCATGCAGAAGGATGATCTGTGCTTTCAGTCAATACAGGAGGCAAAGACAAATTACCAACCATCTCTACCTTTTGTTTGGCATGGGAAACTTGGGAGCATGCTGCACTTGCAACAGGAGACCGGCAGTTCGAAGTTTGAAGACCCCTGCATGCAAGAAATTTGAACATTGACTTTGATAGACTGGGAAATCTGAAAAAGAAGGGAACAGCAAGAATCACACCATGAAGCACCAGCCGGAAGAACAGTGGGCTTCCCAGCATTGCTATTAGGAGGAGAACCTTTGGCCTGGCTTGAGATGCTCTGCTTGCATGTACAATCAGTAAATGTGATGATACAAAGCATATACAAAAAATTTATAGCCACAATCAATATGGTTTACTACAGACTAAATAAGTTGCAGGTCCTAACTAAAAATAAGTCCTAAGCCTCAGTGAACTATCAAAGCTTTTTTTTTAAGTGACTATCAAAGCATTAGAATTTACATTTGAGGCACTTCTGATGTGATATCTGCTTGAAGCTGTTATACTGTTAGAAAAGTCATCGGCTGGAGGAGGCAAAACAGTTCCTGAATGCTGTTGAGAATTATTTGAAGCAATTTGTCGAACCCTACTCCTATAAGCACAATAAGCCAAAAGTTGAGTAAAAGGGAGAGCAAACACTGAATTCATAAGATTACTTTAGATTCTGTGGAAGAACAAGGCAACAATAATAACCTCATCAAGTGCAATAAGATGATTGCAATATGCAACTAGTGAACCTAAGACAGTAGAATAGTAATTGTGGAGGGCTTCAATGTTGTTCACGTCTGTGCTGTCTCTATACAATTTACCAGTTGTGACTGAATGAATCTCAACATAATATGGTGATCACATGTGCTTAAGACAAATGCTGTCATGATATGACAGCATTTGTCTTAAGTACAGGACATCCAACATATACACAGCAACAAGTACATAAACTTATTTCAGTTTGTGCAAGCATATATCTATCAAAATAATATAGCCATATATGCTATGAAAGTGTGATAGCAGGCACTACAATACTCAATAATTCTTAAGTACAGGACATCATGCAAATCATACAGCAGCTTGTACTAAATGTTTGTCAATCCAGATGTCATCATATTACTAGGTACTCAGAAGTCAGAACCCTTCTTTCTGTCGAATTTATTTACAAATTTTTATAAGCCAGAAAGCTGTATAAGAAAGTGTGAACGAATGTGTTGGATATCGACAGAGAACTCAATCTCAAGTGCTATCCTGATGCTTGGGTTGCAAATCATGCATTGGAACTCAGAGATCTCAAGGGCGAGATCCATGCAAAGAAAGCATTTGATGCAGAATTATTGCCTTTAAGTTTAATTTGGATCTTGACAAACTTTAGGCTAAGCCAGAACTGTCAAGTTTGACTGCTATTGAGTCATATCATTATTATTCTTCTAGTATTTTTAGATTAATATTCACCACTTTTTACTGGCTGCTTTTTTAGGTGCCTAGTCCTGTTTGAATTGTATTGATGTTTAAAATTTTTAAGTACAGATAGTGTTTACTTGTTTATGACATAGTTAGCCACTGTAACCAAGATTAAGTTTCTAGACTTCTCCAAAGCTTTTGTACACCTTTACCTAATGATTGCCAGAATCACTAAATAATGAATTAAATTATGTTGATCCTACTTTTATAATATACTAACCAGAGGCTTTCTTATACAGACTTTATAATACTCAAATATGAACTTTCTTTCTTAGATCCCTATTGCGTAACTGTTGCTTGAGTTAGACTATGTTGAACCAAATTTAATTTAGACATTCCTCTAACACTTGGCTATCTAGAACTAAACATCACTTCATGAAGTTACTCTTAAAGTCTAGAGAACTGCACTAAGTGGCCAACTTAGTTCTGACAGTAAAGAGTTCTCATCTTCTTAGAACTATGAAACCTTGAGTGTGAAGAAAGCCTCATGCAACTTCTGTGGTGGCTAATTCCAGCATGTATATTAAAGACCCGAGACACACTAATTGAGCATAACTGAGGAGAGGGAGACATATTATTTGATGAACATAAGTTGCTTATGTGCAACTAGTATACAAACATACTATCTATAACAAATTAGAATTTTCTAACAAGGAAATCCCTGTGCAAAATATGATGAAAAAGGTTCATAAATAATAATCATAGGCTCATAGCAATGACAGCAAACAGATGTGTAGAAGAAAACTCAATCAAAACAGTATCTCTGAGCTGCATATGTGCAACAGGAATCATTTACACTGAGTTTTCGTTTGATTATGTTCGTCCTACAATGCTGCAGTGCTATATAAGAATACATGAAAGACAATTCATGGAAAATGAATCAAAGAGCAGAATAGTGTCAAGAGTATCAGATATTAGTAGAAATTTCCATCAGATGAAGAAATACTGCTCTGCCAGTACCTCATATCACCCAAAAAAAGCTTCTTGGAAAACCAAAGAATTTACAGGGTTAAATGAAATGCATATGTGCTATAATTAAAGTTTATCGAACACTTGTGTGATGGACACACTATTAAACAATACTTATTTATGACAAAGAATTAAGCTTATTTTAACTTCCATAAAAACACATGTTGTCATACTGCAATAGCTCAAAGTCAACAGCAATAATCTAGCATTCCATTTTAGATGGAAGGTTGTACGATATACTAATCTATTACCTTGTATAAGCTGAAATAATCTCATCCTTGCTGAAACTATCTTCTTGGCTGCCTATATCATGCAAATACAGACAATCTGGATTGCTGCAGGTCTGAACAACCAAGATAATTACTGGTAATGAAATTTGACAAGAAACAAAGTTTATCATATGTAAACAAAATTATAGTAAAAAAGAATCCAGAAGTAAAGAAACAGGCTACTTTCTGTACCATATTTCTCAACCAGGCATGGCAATATTTCGTTGTACCAAAACATGCCCTACAAAAGTGAACTACACAACTATTAGGGTAAGAACAGGTTAAATGAATAAGTCATGCAAATGAAATCTAAATGACTGGCTTACCTCAAGGTCTTACCCTCCAGAACATAATTGTGTACAGCTTTAATGCATCGAACAGCTTCTTCTTCTCTTGCATATGTAACATACCTAGTCCAACAAGGTACAAAAATATGAGAACCCAATATTGGTAAACTAAACATGAATTCAATACTTCTCAAACACTTTGTGATCAGGTCACAAAAAGCAATAGTTGAGGCCCTATGCAAACACCATGTAGAAAACTTGTTGTTACATGTGTTTTCCAGGTGAAGCCATCTTCATGAACTTACAAGGGCCAAGCACTCCATAAATACAGCCAAAAATTCTTTAATTCTCTTTATTTATTTTAGATCCGCTGTTAATCAGTCATGTTGCACCTCAAATCACAATATACACAATACTCAACCAAAACCAGAAGACGATAAGAGAAGAAATATACATACATCCTTTGTCTAGTAGAAGACTAGGCCCAGTGAGCTTAGAAAAAATTAATGACTAAATCCTAGATCAGACCACCACAAAGTAAACATGGCCCAAGTCAAAAAAAAAAAATGAAGTAAACTAAAGAAAAATATAGAGAGTCAGTAGGACCAACAAGCAACATCTAGCACCAACATATAAACTAACACGATCCTCAAATTCAAACATGATTCAAATACTAAAGGCATGTAAGTGAATGTCTACAAGCAATGCACCTAGCATATAAATAGTCACCACTAGATGCATAAGTGGCAATGCTTGTTTGGCAACAAATTACTGAAAAACACAGAAATTGATTTCACAAAAAACAAGAATTCATAAACCCAATTGTGCAAGCATGAAACAACATAAAAATGCAGAATAAGTTGAAAGAGATAAAATTATTGAATAAATCAATTTAATACACAACAAACAACCTAAACTAGATCCCAAATATAAATATCATCACAACATAGAAACAAGTTATAATGCCTGAAATAAGTAGCTTCCTCAGTTTGGAGATGAATTCAAATGATTGCTCTGTTCTTAACAAATAGAAAATAATACCAAAGTCGATATAAATAAGACCTACACACTACACGTGCTGTTACTTGATGCTTGCTGGGTAGGGGTACTTGCAGGACGAGAAATTGACACCTTTATAACTTTCCCATACTGACCAAAGTATTCCTTACTTTCAAGAAACTGCAAATCACAGAGAAACCTCAAAAGAACCCCTTTTTGTTTACCTAAAGCATGAGTTCTAACAACAAAAGAGATCAAGCACGCACACTATCATCGCATAAATTAGTAGGAAGTCCAATTATGTACACAAGGTTTCGTTGCATCACTCTGACACTGCTAAGATGCTTCTTAGCTTCTGCAGATGTTTTCAGCTTTGCTTTTTGAGATTTCTGCTTTTTCTCAGAATTTATCTCAGCAACTATCCTATACAAAAGAAAGAAAATGTATAAATTTAGTGTCATATGAATCTATACAACATATAAATCATTCAAGGAAAACACTTAGAACGTAACCTTTTGCAGTTGGCGGCCATTCTGACAATCCTTTCCTTGTCATATGGCGTGCGACATGCGGGACACCGCCCTTCTGTTTTCTCAGCCATGTCATTTATTTGATGCCAACACCAAACACAAATCTGCAGACAAGATAAAGATCGTGCGTCAACTTCAAGACATGGAACTCAACGCTTCTAAGAATTCAGACATCATCTGTAGCAAAGTCAAACGTAACAAGTGCTTCAATCTTAAAACCCGAATTTATCTCGTTTCCCAATCAGCAGGCACACATACCTCATATCCACATTTGCAAGGTTTCAGCTGCTGGTCAGTCAGATCCATCTCCTCAGCGCACAAAGGACAGGTCCTATCTCCATCATCACTCATGGTGGTCCTTCAAACACGAAAAAATTATTCAAAAGACTAACCAAGAATGCATACAAATCACAGATAAAATACCAGAAATCCACGTCCAATAGTTACTAAATGATGCCCCTAAAAGGTCCTAATTTCTAGGATTACCTACATACATTATACCATTCCCAAAACCAGAGAGAAGCCCTATAGAACACAACTCTTTTCCTATCCGGCAATCTCCCCAGACTTCTCCTTCACGAATAGCAAAATCTACAGGTTAACCCCAATCTAGCAACATAAGGATTTGCACGAAATCCTTGATCGCACGAGTTCCGACAGAGAATACTAAAAATCTACCCACAGCTAAAAACTCCCACGTCCAATCAATGGAAGCAACCAACAGCCGGCCAGTCTACGCCATCGGTTCCGCGGGGACCATAATAGATCAGCAAAGTGAAGATAATTTAACGGCAGAAGACGGCAGATCCAGCGATCGGCGAGAGATCACTTACACTGGGGGGATTGGGAATGGATCGAAGGCTGAGGTCGGGATCGGGAGGACGCCTCTTCTCTCTTACGAAGGGATGGGTTTGTCCGCAGGACGCACTTGGTGTTTTTGCGCCGACTCGGCTGCGTATTAAAGAACCGGCAACCACAACACCGGCTTCAAACCACCAACGCTCTTGCATTTATTTACGAGACGTGCCATTTCTCCGTTATGCCAATTTTGCCCTTCCCGGACTCGGATCATCTGCAGTACCTTTGTGAGCAGAAGATTCGGTGTTTCACAGGTGGGCGCAGTGGAGCCGTTGCCTTATCCTCTCTCTCTCTCTCTCTTTATATATATATATATATATATATA